ATGAATCATACTTCTCACGACGCGGTGGTACTCTGATCGTCTACGAACTGGGCCCAACTCGTCCGACGTCCCGATCGTATGGCCTTTACTTTGATGATGCTCCTGAACTTTTGAAAAATACAAGGTTTTGGCGGGACGACTTATTTGAAAATCGGCTGGAAAGCTTAGGACTAAAATGCGGAAAATATCCAAATATTCGGCTAGATGTGCCGACCATCACGCCAGCTCTGGTGCGATTCGTGAACGATCACGTCCATACCCTGGAAATCATAACTGATGACCTAGAGTCGGCCACCGCGCTGCGATGCCCATTTATACACATCACGCTGCAACGAAGCGATGAAGAGACTGTCCAGAAGTATTTGAATAGACGGATCGCAGAATGGAAAGCCGGAATCTTGAAACAGATGCATGCGAGAATCTTTCTAAAATTAGGCCCGAATTCACCGACTGATACCACGAAAATCAATGGTGATCGAGAAGACGGGGCGTGGCTCCTGGGTGAGTCGTACCTTTACAGTCACGGACAGAACCGATTCAAAAGATTCTGGATTTACGGAAGTAGCGGAATCAAATTCCACAAATGGCCTTCTGCGATCCGAAACCGAACAGCTGAATCTACAGCAGCAGCAACAACAGGACAGCAGAAATCCGGAGCCCTGGAGTTCGGTGCATTCAGGCGTTCGGAACTATGGATTTTAAGCGCAATCGCCTTCTGCGCAATGGTCGTTGGCCTTCTAGCACAAAATTGTTAATTCGATTCCAATTGTCAGCCTCTATAGCGTGTCGATTGTTAATTATAAACAGTTTGTCGTTTTCAGCCGTTTGGGGTCATTTCTTTACATTTATTGCTCTCGTTTTACCTTTAATAAGCTGTTGTGCACAATAACCGCCTTAAAAATCACATATCAGGAAACAATATGAAAAACGACATGGCCTAAAATATCTGTTTTTTTTTAAATCTTAGCGGAAAGGAAGCGTCAGAGACCTGCGTTTAGATAGCATTTGAAGCTCAGAGTCTATTTCCTCGAATACCACCCCGGGGGTATGCAGAGTGTCCCAATAAAAAAGATCACGCTGGTATTTTGTCGCTTTGAGATCCGGGAAGGGTGCGTTTGAATTCCAGGGTGATCCGTTTAGCCACACCTTTGAGTTTTTCGGCAGATCTAGAGCGTCAGGAATCTCTCCGGCAGAGAAAGTTTGACCGGAGAATCGGACGGACGGCCGATGGGAACGGCTTTCAGCTTCGTTGTGGCCACGGCCCCTAATTAACAACGAGGGGTTCCGTCCGCTCGATATGGCAATGTCGTAGCCCGGTTGATTTTCTGGGCACTTTTCGGTCAGCCCCCAGAAATATCGACAGGTTCGGGAGAAGCGAAGGCGCGTACGGGGATCGGTGCTGCACAGCAGTTCGACCAGTCGCATGTGAAAATGTCGGGGAAGGGCCATCAAATCCATCGTGGTGTCCCTCTGAAATTGGGAGGTTAGCTATGAAGGGATATGCAAGGCATGCTTCCCGCAAAAAAAGAAGTGGCGATCCATTTAAGATATTGCCTGGACAGAAAATATCGGAAGCATACCGTATCCCTCTAATACAGGGTGGACTCACATTGACACTCAACTCTACACTCTACTCTACTCCAAATTCACACAACCAGGCCCGTAGGAGGGGGGAAGGGGGCAGCTTGCCCTGCCCCCGAAATCGGCAGATGCGGAAAGATTGATAAGCCATCTGCTCCCTCCGGAATTTCGGGTCAACTACGGGTCTAGGTGGCTCCGGTTATCTGCTTTTGCTCAGCAGATGCGCGCGGCAGGCGATTTTAGGCTTATTACGCCCTCATTCCATCTATCTCTGTCCCATTATTCCCCCACCCTTATTTTTTACCGCATTTGGCCTAATTTAATCTCGGGGGATTATTGTTTTTCAATCACCCATATACGGAGGAATGTGTTTTTGATCGAGCAGATTCCCGAATTTCGACTCTAAAATGTTGAACTTTTTTGAAAGTCGACCTCCAATTTTTGCCAAATTACATCAAATTTTTATAATTTAAGCTGGTTAAGACCACTCAGGAACGTAAAAAATGGAAAAAATCATAAGGAGCCCCGCTTATCAATTTTTCGGCATCTGCCGATTTCGGGGGGGGCAAGCTGCCCCTCTTCCCCCCGCCCTCCTACGGGCCTGGTTGTGGGACACCCTGTATTAGAGGGATACGGTATGCTTCCGATATTTTCTGCCCAGGCAATTACTTCTTTTTTTGCGAGAAACAGACTTTGCATTTCCCTTTATAGCTAACCTCCCAATTTCAGAGGGACACCACGATGGATTTGATGGCCCTTCCCCGACATTTTCACATGCGACTCGTCGAACTGCTGTGCAGCACCGATCCCCGTACGCGCCTTCGCTTCTCCCGAACGTCTCGATATTTCTGTGGTCTGACCGAAAAGTGCCCAGAAAATCAACCGGGCTACGACATTGCCATATCGGGCGGACCGAAACGCTCATTGTTAATTAGGGGTCGCGGCCACAACGAAACGGAAAGCCCTTTACAGCGGCCGTCCAAGCTCAAATTCTCCGGCCAAACTTTCTCTGCCGAAGAGATTCCTGACGCTCTAGATCTGCCGAAAAATTCAAAGGTGTGGCTGAACGGGTCACCCTGGGATTCAAACGCATCATCCCCGGATCTCGAAGCGCCAGATGAGAAGTACGCACGTCTCGAGCTCCGGGTGCGCAACTTGAGCCCTGAGCTCGTCCGCTTCATCAACAACCACGTCGATTCGGTCACCTGGAGCGGCAATCCGGTGTCGATGAGCACGCTAAGGTGTAAAAAGTTCACCTTCGCACTCCCTAAGCTATACCAGGCGACGTTCGGGCTCTTCTTGAATGCCGTGATCGCGGATTGGGAGGCGGGACGCCGCGAGCTTGTCGATGCCGAGATTTCCGGGGCGCCGACCACGCCTTGGGTTAATTTTGAGAGGGAACGCTATCGACGAGACGGCAAGAAGCTGCAAGTCATCCGGAGAGGCTATGGCACATATCGGATAGAAGTGACTGGGAGTTGTTGGGTGAATATGCAGAATTTTCATCTACAAAATATTTAATGACTGCTACTTGATTAACGAATGCTTGAATGGTTGGATATATGATGATAAAATTAAATTAAACTATATAAAATTAATAATATAAAATTTTAAACGGCTAATCGTATATAGGAATTTGAACTTTTCACTCTTTGCATATTCGCTCTTTGCCTGCTGGTTTTCTTTTTGTACTAATTCAAATTCATTAATCCGATCTCCCTACCTTTCTCGATCTCATTAATTCGCAAATAAACTATTGTAAACCCAATGTGCTTAAAAATCACACGTCAGCAAACAGGTCAAAGTGCAATCCACCCTCGCGGTTTCTGTTCATATAAGAACGGCTATATCCTAATTGTAAAATGTTTTTATTCAGGCTCGAGTTTTTGTATGGGACCAAGCCTATCTCGTGCAGAATTTCTTGCTGATTCCAAATCCGTTTTTCAAATTTGCTGCGGACTTCTCGTTGAAAAGTCATGCCGCCGAAATTAAGCTTAAAAACGGCATAAATTCGGACGTTGACCCACTATTCCCTGCCGGCGTCGAGCATTGATGCGCCCCTTATCTACCCTCCCTTTCCCAGTTGGCACCATGGTGCAATTGGCACGCTCGCCCAGCACCGGGCGGTGGTTCGAACCCCAGCCCTGCACACTCGATTTTGCTTTTTGCACAAAAACACATGATTTTTTGCATAAAATGCATTGCATTTTTGCATAAACCTCTAAAACTCCCGTTGTAATCTTGAAAATAACGCAAAAAAAATCGAGATTTTCGCAAATTTTTAGTATAAATTTCTAATAACTTTTTAAATAAAGGTCGGAAGCAGATTTAAAAACCACATTCGGAATCACGTAAAATTCTGCACAAGGTGGTCTCTTCCTCAATCGCCAGCCTGAGTAAAAACGGATTACAGTAAGAAAAAGGGGGAAACCCGTTAGTACGGAAGTAGCGTAAATTCGATTGTTTTGGTTCCGAGCTTATGAATTTTGCTATCATGAAGGTAACTCGGGCTTGATAGTAAAGTTTCATGGCGTTTGAGGATGGAAAATTGAGAAGATCGAGCACTCCTAAATGGGATCTTCGAAAAGACTGGCCGACTTCGACCGCTATTATTGCCTCGAGCGTCGTTTTGGAATGGGCGTCACACGGCTACGTCGGGCGGCACTTACGTGATATAAATACAGCGCTTGGAATCGGCAAAATACCAAAAGGGAAACTCGTAAGGCATATAACTTTTTCATTGCTTATTGTCGCTGAATCGAATAACGCCAAGCACGAAAGAAACTCAACTTTGAAACTGTCTTAAATAATTGAAGTTTTAAGTCTTAGTTTAACTTTCTTAATTAAAGCGTTGAGAGCTGGCCTTCTTGGAAGGAGTTTAGTTTTTGGACTAGCGTATACAGGAGCGGTGCGTAGCCTTTCATCGGTGCAATTCCCGGGTTTTTCACTACTACCGGTGCTATGCGGTAGCGTTGAAGCGATCAGAGGTCTATCACTGCCGCGACGTTCGAATTCAACTTCTCTATCACCTCTCACACAGGTCCCTCCCTCCAAAACCTCCGAAATCCGCACAATAATGAATGCGGGAAAAATCGAGGTTTTGTGAGTATTGACGTCTTTTATCAGATTTATGTGGGCTGAACCCGGGTTTCCCAGGCGTTAGTTAACTGAAAATACTTCAAATACCCGCGGCACAGATGGTCTCTAACCATGCTGCCAAAAGAGGCCCAAGGTAACACTTGCCAAAGGCGGTCAAGATTGGCAGATGTCTTGATCGATCAACCTGAGCTATGAGGGACCTTCTTGCTCAACTTTACATCAACGATTCATTTTTAATTTACCTCTCAGCCCCGAGGGTTCGCAATAAAATCTTTTTCCTCAGCTGCTAATCCAAAATCAAGCTTGTTCAATTCCAGGAGATGGATTTCCTTCGCCTTCCCTATATCTTCCATCACAAACTGGCGGGATACATCGACGGAATGGACGTCTACACCCGTTTCCGCTTCTCTCGATCCTGCAGGTACATAGCGCGGCTGACGGAAAACTCGGCGACAAACCGAATTCGATATGATGCAGACTTTTCGCCAGCTTTTGATGCCCTGATCGTCTACGAAATCGGTCCAACTCGTTCGGTGTACCGATCTCCTGGCCCGTACCTGGATGATGCTCCCGGACTTTTGAAAAATACAAGGTTCTGGCTGGACGGTCAATTTTCAACACCTCTGGAATGCCTACGACAAGTAAGAGGCGGAAAATACACAAATATTCGGATAGATGCGCCAACCATCACCCCAGCTCTGGTGCGATTCGCGAACGATCACGTCCATATGTTGCACATTATAACCGATGACTTAGAGTCGGCCATCGCGCTGCGATGCCCATTTATACACATCACGCTGCAACGAAGCGATGAAGACTCAGTCCGGAAGTATCTAAATACCCGGGTCGACGAATGGAAAGCCGGAATTTGGCGCGACATCAATGAGAGAATTAAGCTAAAGCTAGGCTCGAGTCCGTCGACTAGCACGATGCCTGTCAGGCATGATCGCGAAGACGGGGCGCAACTGCTCATTGGTGATTCCCCAGATATAGTTCAGGACTCAGGCCGGTACAAAGCATTCTTTATTTTTCAATCTTGCGAAAGCTCAGTAAGTGGAAAGTCCCGTTTCCAGCAGAATCTCGAAGCTCTGGGTTTGGGTTCATTCCGAGGCTGTGCACTATGGATTTTGTGCATACTCGTACCCGGCGCGATGGTCGTCCTTCTTCCAGCTCAAATTTAACATTCCCATGCCTAATTGCACCCAATGGTCCGTATCGATTGTTTATTCCACAGAGACCTTTGTGGTGCCCGAATAAATTCCCGGTTCTCGTTGTTCGCTTAATAAATCTTCGTGCTCCAAAACGGTCTTAATAATCACATATCAGAAAACAATATGATATAAAAAAACCCTAGAAATATCGGCTTTTTGTCTAATATCTTCATAGAAAGGAAGCGTCGGATACCTACGTTCTGATTACATTTGAAGCTGGGAGTGCAGCAGCTCAAAATATTTTCCGAAACTCTTTGATTCTTCCCATTCACTATCTTGCATATTTCAGTCATTTTCGTTGGGAGAGAATTAGATTGGAGGGGGGCTAAAGGAGGGGCAAGATTGCAAATACTCGCCGCATTGATGAGCTTCTAACAATCTTTCCAAAACGACGCCCGCGGCAACAGTGTCAAGCAAGGTTAAAAGTTGGCAGATGCCTTGATTGACTGGCCCATTTATCAGTGACCTACTCGTCAAGTTTTCTTGAACCCGGATTTTTTTTATTTTCTTATTCTTTCCGAGAGTTTTAATGCAAATCTCCTGCCTTGCCTTAACTCCTTCAGTGTGTCAATACGATGGAACCTGTTTGTATTGGAACCTGGAGAGTGTACCTCTTGGAACGCTATGATCTCCGCCCTCGTTGAGTTTGACGCCAAGCTAACTAGCACGCCTGGTAGCGCTCAACAGGCGCTTTTTTACTTGATGCTGGTGACATGTAAAGTGTGGCTCTATCGTTTTGACACTTCGTTTTTTGGCTCTATTTTGTTCTCTGGCTAATAGAAACCCCGTGGTCTATTTTTGAACAAACTTCGAGCAGATGGAAAAATAGCGCTACAAGAACCACTAATTGGTTTGGCGTCAGACGCAACTTCGGTCAAGATATTAGCGTTTTATGAGATGGATCTATCGTTTTGACACACACTGAAATACAAATCCGAACCTTGTCCTTTTCAGGCGATTACGTCATGGATTTCCTTGACCTTCCCCAGACCTTCCATCGCAAATTGGCCAAATACATCGACGCAATGGACGTTTACACCCGTTTCCGCTTCTCCCGAACCTGTCGCTACCTAGGGAAGATGACGCAAAATTCTGCCAGCAACAAGAAGCGCTATCAAGCGTGCTTTCATCACCTTTATCCCCTGGTAATCACTGGGCTCGATTCTAAACCCCCTTTCGGCCTCTTCCTCGACGATGTCAATGGCTTGCCAAAAAATACGACGTTATTTCTGGACGGCCCGGTAGCCGATCTCCACGATCCGCTGGAAATCAAGAAGACGGAGGCCGGGAAACTGACAACCATCGGTATCCGGGAGGCCACCATCACGCCAAGTTTAGTACGTTTGGCGAACGATCAAGCCGCTGGAGTGATAATCATCACGGCCGACCTGGAGTCAGTGACCGCACTGCAATGCGCGCGGATAGAAATCAGGGCAGGTTACTGGGGAAGCAATGAGGTCTCGATCCAGAAATGTCTTGACGTATTCATCTCCCAGTGGTTGACCGGAAAGCGTGGCCTTGAATATGTAAAAATTCGAATTTTGCGCCCGGAAAACACCGCGCCTGGCCCACCAACGAAAATCCATATCAGCGAAGACGGACAGCGACTCGTGGCCAGTTGCAACCTTCGCCCTGCAGTCAGAAACCGCTACCTCCCCAAGGAGTACTGTCTTTCTGTGAAGCCAGAGGAGCCAACCTCGGCCTAATTAATGTATTTTGTTCACGCTCCCTAGTGGCAAACACCATCAAGTATCCGTTTTTCCTATCTTTTCCGAGGATTACGCAAATAAATAGTTGTTGACCCTGCAGATCTTCACGAAAATAGCATGGTAGGGACACAACATAAGAGTAGTAGGTAAATTAAATGGAGTAAATAATGGACAAATTCATTAGCTTTCTATCAATACTTTCCTACCAATCCTACAACCTAATTCCTACCCGGCCATTACAATGTAAAAAAAAACTAGAGAGATAGAGAGAAAGAGAAGGGAGGGTGTGCGTGAGGGAGAGAGAGAGACAGAGAGTGAGAGAGAGAGAGAAGCACATAAGCGAAAGAGTTCCTGCACTGAAAATTTTCCCCACCGATACGCCGATCGCTGGCTAACTAAATTTCAAAGCATTTTTCACACGCGTGATTTAAATTTCACAAGCAGAGTTTCAAGTAACGGCTTTTTTTTATTTTTTTGAATGTAATAAGACTAGTTTATTAAGGACATATGTGTGGATTTTTGATTAAATAAGAAGTGTAATAATGTGTAAATTTGTATGACTAAAATTAAAAAAGTTATAAGTGTGTATAGGAGAGTTTTTGAATAGCTATAAATTAAGTGGCTATAAGTGTCGCGACATTTTCAGCGGGGCGCAGATGCTGAAAGCCGTTTTCGAATCGATTCTTCTTGTCTGGTCGTTCAACTCGTCACTCCACAAGGCATTAATTAAAAGGTTTTCTATTTGCTTCTTCAGCGCCCTCACGCTAACATTCTATCATAATTTTCTTTGCGAAAGACCAAAGGAATTGTCTTGGATTTTTGAATTTTCGATCAATTGTCCTTCTTTATAACGATCTGAAGCTTGAGTGATCCCTCTCCAAATCCTCAATTTATTAAGTTCGCCCCAAAATTAAGGGCAACCAGGGGTAAAAACCCGCTTCGCGGCTTTTCAACCCTGGCCCCAGTTGATCCCATCGTATTCTCCAGTTTACACGATTTTCCCGAATTCAGCTGACAAAAACGAAAAGCGTTCCCGCTGTCTCTTTGCATAGGCCACTGCACGCTCCGGCGGATGATAATTTTTTGCTAGCAAAGTTAGCCCGAGATTTTTACAAAATTTATATTCAATGTCGAAAACAGCTGCTTTTGCAAAAGCTAATATGTGTGCAGTCATCTCAGGGCCATTACGTATCGTTTTGTACATGTATTAAAATTCCTCTCTGTCGAGATATCCTCCGGACATAATGATGGAGGTTTAATGCAAAGTAGCGCAGACACACACACACACAAACAATATTTTTGTATATATGGTAGGAAACCGCCTTATGATATTTCCATTTTCAGATAAGCCTCCATGGACTTCCTCGACCTGCCCTTGCCCTTTCACCGTCGATTGCTGGAATTCCTTTGCGCTGGAGACGTGTCGACCCTCATCCGATATTCGCGAACATGCCGGTATTTGATGGAGCTAGCCAAGAAATCGCCGGCTAATGAGGGCTGTGACGTTGTTTTTGACGGTGATGAATTCCTGCATGTTTACGGGCGTGGACTCAATCGAAAACGTGGAAGCCGATTTTTGAAAAAACCATTGGGAATCTATGTGGACTGCCCTCAACTGCCCACAAATACCGGATTATGGCTAGAGGGGCCGCTTGCATATCCGGATCGTGGACTCAATTGGTCCGACAACGTCCGTTACATGATCTACATGAAAACTATCAGCCCCGACGTGGCAAGTATCGTGAATCGTGGAGGGCATGCTACCTTAATTTGTGACGATACCGAATCGGTAAAGGCGCTTAACTGCCGAGGGATGAGAATACGTATTGAAGGGCCAGGAAGGACTATTGAGCCCTTAATCGACACGTTCATTGCGGAATGGAAGGCGGGAGTCCGGGAGATCCGTTATATCAGCTTAGAAACGTACCCCGATATGAAGGCGACGAACGCGCCAGGGATTGGCAAACGGATCGAATTTGTTCGAACCGCTGGACAACGTCTCACGATGCGCACCGCAGCATATTCCGAAGTGATTCTCTGGCAATCTGCGTGAAAAATCTTGTTTTACCCTACTTACATGTGCCCCAATAGTAATAAACGGTTTCAACAAACTTTTAACACTATTGAAAGAATCGACATGATACTAGAATAGGTCAGACAGATTTTATAATAAAGAGTTGTGTGTTCGTTCCATCGTTTTTACAAGGAAACGACAACAAGCTCTCTCAACGCAGCGAATTACCTAGCACTACTTAAAGGGGGCTCCGAAATCTGATCCACGGCCCCCTGCTTTGATTCATGGCAAATAGCCAGACGCGCGACCGCGCCGGATGATTTTTGCCTCTGTTTGGACGCGAAAACGCTTGAATTTGAAAATTCTGCACTATTTTTGGAGTCCTCAACGAATTTTTATCATTCCAGACTTTTAAATGATGAAAATTGACCAGAGGATCACCGAGATCGAGAGATTGGGTGCCTTACAAGCCATTACGACATGTAATCGCCGCGCACTCAAAATGTCGTTTTTGCCCCAAAAAGAATTAGTTTTTTCTCAAACATTTTACATTTTTTCGCAATCAATCGCTTTTTTTGGCACTTCTCGGCAGCGACCCTTTCGTTTTCCGCAGGTTCAATTTTTTTTGAACCTGCGCACGCACGAATTTGGACTTCTGAGTCCCTTTAAAAAGCGAAATTTTTTTGAACCGAAAATTCCTTCGTTATCAAGGCTCCGAAAAGTACTTCGTCGTACGTCCGTCAATCATTTTTATGGTATTTTTCGCGACTCGACGCGTTGGCAAGCCATGTGATAGGCAAATTACTAAATATCGATTTTGAAGTGATGACGTTTAATGAAACTTTTTGAACACCATAAACAGCGTCTATCAGTGCTCCGACCCCGAACACCAACGAGCAGATGCGCTACCCTTCCCTTTTCGTCGATTTTTCTGGTCTATGGACTTGATGATGTGGTGGGCATAAGTTATATAATTTTCCATTTGCTTCTCATGTTCCCGTATCAGTTTTCAAAAGTCATTTTTATAGGTTTTTTTAGAATTTTGACTAACTGATTTTTAGAAATGCGAAAATTAGGTTTGATTTTCGATCCGATCAGACGTGTTTGTTCCTAAATTAAATCAATGCTAATTAGCAATAGCAATGCTAAAATTCGATTTATAGATAACCCTCAATGGATTTCGTCGACCTGCCCTACCCTTTTCACCGTCGACTGCCGGAATTCCTTTCCGCTGGAGACTCGTTTCTTACCCGTTTCTCGTTTGAGCAAATACTTTTTCCTTTTCTAACTTTTATATCTAACTTTATCTTATTATTATAATTTCCTTTGATTCCTGGAGTTCCAGGAATTCCTGGAATTTCATCCTTCTATTTCTTCTTACTAACTCTATAAAAAGTTATTCCTTAAATTTCAACTTATTTATTACGTTTTATTTCGATCAGAGCAGATCAGACAAATTCGTCCCCCCATTGAAGCAATGCAATGAGCAGTCACGCGATAGTACGATTTTCAGATAATCCTTCATGGACTTCCTCGACCTGCCCTTGCCCTTCCACCGTCGACTACTAGAATTCCTTTGCGCTGGAGACGTGCCGACCCTCATCCGATATTCGCGGACATGCCGCTATTTGATGGAGCTAGCCAAGAAATCGCCGGCTAATGAGGGCTGTGACGTTGTTCTTGACACTCATGGATTACTGTGGATTAACGGGCGTGGACTCAATCGAAAACGCCAAGGTTCCGAACAACCTCAAGGAATCTATGTCGCGGACTGCCCTGAACTGCCCGTAGATACCGGATTATGGCTGGAGGGACCGCTTGCATGTCCGGATCGTCCACTCAGTTGGTCCGACAACATGCTTCATATTGTTTGCGTGAAAACCATCAGACCCGACTGGGCAAAAGTCATCAGTCGAGCAAGGTATGCATGGATAAGCTGTGATGATACCGAATCGGTAAAAGCGGTCACCTGCCCAGCGATGAGAATATGTTTCGAAGGGCCAGACAGAAATATTGAACCCCTAATCGACACATTCATTGCGGAATGGAAGGCGGGACTCCGGGAGATCCGTGATATCTGCTTACTAACGGCTCCTCCGGTTCCGGCGGTGAACGCCCCAGGAATTGGCAAACGAATCGAATTTGTTAGAGGTGATGGACGACGGCTCACGATGCGCACTGGTGTTAATTATGAAGTGAATCTCTCGCAAGATGCGTGAAAAAGTCTTGTTTTGCTCTACTTCGATGTGCTGGTAGCAATATACTGTTTCAATAAATCTTATGAATAAATCCACATAATACTAGAGTAGGTTCATTAAGGGTATTGAGAGTTCTGTGATATTCGACTTGTTCATTCTGCGGGGCCATGATGGCAAGCGCTCTGCACGAATCGGCGCTATCCATACCTTAAAAATCAACTACAAAGGGATAAAAGCATCATCTGGTGAACCTCATTTGGCAGGAGGCTTAATTTTCGCAAACGGTCACCAGGCCAGAGCGCGCGAGCGGGGGAGAGGCACAGAGACACTTTCTTTCCCGCGCGTAACTGATTGACTAATGCTGTCCTTAGCCCATTAAAATCAAAAACTTCTTTGTAAATCAAAACTTCGAAAAGTCCGTACTCAAAGGTCAGTCCATCATTTTGCGCGATATAATAATTTTGCTGTGGTGTCTTTCTGTCTGTAGTCAACGCGAGCGGGGAAGGAGCTGGAGCTTAGGTCTCAACGGTTACAGGTCCATTCGACCCTGCCGAGTCCAAATGTTCAAAATCAGAACTAGAAAATTCTTTTAAGTGAAAAATCTGTATTTGTAATTTGTTAAAACGCACGCTGCGGGCATAGTGAGCCCGGTGCAGCGCGGGCGGGTTGAGGGAGGGAGCGGGGGGGTACGGCCGAAGTCCAGACGCTTCAGGTGGTTTGCAACATTTTTCGCAACTTCACGCGTTGGCAAGCGATGTGATTACACAACCAAATTGCGGAGG